GACGCAGAGACGAGGCAGGAAGAAATGCACAGAGCCATTAGGTAGAGTAGGTGTGTCTCGCGCCTTCCAGGTTGGGGTTCGAAAGACTCTGCAACTGGCTGGTTATAGAGACTGAAGGGTATGGCAGCGAACCGAGAACAGTGGGGTTCTTTTTATTGTCTTTTATCCGGCCAGAATACTAGAAAAATTTTTGTATGCACAGTTAGGTTTTGCACTGTGCGCGTTGATCATCGCGGTTCATTATCTCCCCCCCCCTCACTCCCGCACACACACCTTTAAATCGTTCCACTCCCTGTCCGCTTTAAGCATTCTTACTTTGCATGCATTTTGAGTATGGCAGCTTGATCGAAGAGTTTGCTTCACTGGATTTCGCTGTAGGATGATGATGACAATGATGTGCAGCAGTAGCAGCAGCAGCAGCATCAATATTACTGCTATGGCTTGATGTGGTTCTAATACATGGGGTCGTTGGTCCTACACCAAGAGTATCGAACAAAAGTGAATCGAGAGTCTGGGAGTATCAGGAGCTATTTCTATCTTGGGTGATATCATCAGCAGTGTGAAGATGACCGATATGAGTTACTGACAGGAAACACGCCAAGATGGGTTGTGCCAAACCGTTTGCTCAATGCGATCAGATGCTCACTGCTCCAGGGCGCGGGGGGGGGTGTTGTGATTGCGTTCAAATTGTCATGTCCTGGGTTTATGATCCCCAAATGAGTTGATTAATTCGCAATGCTGATAGGGAAAAAGCCTGGAAAATGTATCCCGAATTTTTCTGTTATTAACTATGATTACCAGATTGATTTGACAGCTGTTTGTTCCGCATTTGGACTCTTTCCTCGCATGTGTGAGGAATGCACGGACTCCGAAAGAGTACTTAGACCAAATGTCGAGCCAAAGGCATGTTGCTGAGTTTTGCCAAACATCACATTGAAAAATATCGGTGTTTTTGTAAAGTTTTATTTTTAAAGATAATTGATGAGAATGGAACTTTATATGAGCAAATTACGTGGCGTAATTTTCGGGGCCGTTTTTCTTGTTTATTATCTACCGGATTTTCCTCACCCGTATTGGTGAAAGGTTATTGGCCAGGTTCATTCCCTCAGTTGATATACCGAACGGGATTCACAAACAATCTACGCACGACAATGTGTGGATCGGTGAATCTTGACGGAGAAGTGTTCTAAGCCTCCCGTGGAGGTCAGCCTGCTTTTACCGTGTCAGGTGACCTGAGCGGTATCCCATCCTGAGTGCGAGTTCAGATCAATGTCATCCGAGTAACAAAGTCACTCTTTTTGTGGTTATTTGGTTCATTTAAAATCGAACCCGGACCGCGATGCGTTGATTTATAGTTGGAACAAACTATAGAAAAGACCTTCCGGTAACAGATTATCTTCTGAAATCAGGGATTAATTCACACCACATGACATTCAGCAGATCTCTCCTCTGCAACTTGTATCTTCCTGTTTCTCACTGAACACATTTTGCAACATATTGGAGATCTCAACACGCAATTAACCTCACCCATCCACCCGACCGCACTGCGCAACCGTCCCACCTCCATCCCAAACAGGTGAGTTAGTCAGGCCATGATATACGCTATCATTGTTGTGCGAGTTGGTGTGTGTGTGCGAAGATGTGGGGATCAACTAATACTGTTCATGGCTGATTGACCCAATTACCCGACTGGCTAATGTGGGTTAATCGTGTGAACTAGTCCGAATCGATAGCACATAATCCGGATGACAGGTATGTACACATACACACACAGACTGAACTCATTCGGAAGTGAATGATTGACATCAACCTTAAAATAACCTTGCAATCATAACAGTCTGTTGAGAAACCAAATGAGCTATATATATATATATATATTCATGAGTAGTATGTAGATGATTGAACGAACTCCCCCTGGAGGAGAACGACCAGTGTCTCAGTGACTGCCACTCATCCGAAATGCGTCTTATTCTCTTATTCAATCATTTATATGTTGGAATCCCGAGAGTATGTCTGCGTCATAAATCTCGAACCGATGATGAGAGTCGCGTAGTTTTGCGAACAGGCTGTTCTTAAACAGTCCATTCTTGCATCAAACAGAGGATTCGATGCTGTTTTACCGGTTGGATATTTTTTATGAAATGGTATGTAGTAACAAGTAGTGTGTGAATGATTCCCCCGGAAATAATAATAATAATAATAATAATAATAACAATAATACGCTTCACGTCACTTATTGGAGATTTGTGATACAAATGGATTCAAAGTGTTCCAAATGGAGATGAGGTTAGGAATAGGCACTCCTTACCCATTGTTATCGATTTACAATCACGATATTGGGAACTTAGTAAGATTCTGTTTTACTAGTCAACTCGTACAAGTTCGATCAGCTATCTGGTGGTCGTACGCGTGCAATCTACCCAGGAAGTCTCGGATTCGATCTCCAGTCTAGTCGATGGATTCGCACTACACTGATGATGAGACCCACCCAAGTAGGAACAACTGCCCCGTGCTTCATAGATTTTCAGTCCATAATCCGTTTGCTCTGTACATGTGGTTCTATCAAATCCTTGGCTAGTCTCATAAAGTGTAAATGAAATGAGTGATAGATTGGGAGAATCGTCTCTCTCCCTATTTCCCAGTGCGCTGTTTGTGTCGCTAATTCAGTCGTCATAAGTCTGGACAGCTAGACGCAATGTTAGTCTACCCGGATGTGTCAGCGGCGAGAATCGACCGAGAATTAGCCGCTCATGTGGCAGCCATTTGATTGCAAAAATATACATATATTCAAAAAAGTAGGTAAAGATATAACTACTATTCCCCACTGATTTTGTCCTGACTTAAGTAAAAATATTTTATTACAGATTAAGTATTAATAGCCGAATCTTACTGATTCTCAAAAACATTCCAATCGCAAAACTGCCTGATCTTCCTAGTTCCTCCGATGAGAATGTCCCCCGTTTCAACCAACCATCTGCTTACCCCCAAATCATCCACCGGCTGATTTCATACCAAAACCAACTCCAACTTTGGCTACCCAATATTTGTAGACACATTTATAGCAATTCAAATGTCCCCTAGTTTGTTTGCAGTCTATCTGACAAGAAAGAGGTTCTTTCCCGAAGACATTAGCAATCTTTCTAGTAGTTGCAGTACGCACTGATCACGAAATACGAATCACTGATTAGAAATCACTGGCGCCACATAAGCACTG